TTTTTAATATGAAATTTATTGTCAAATTGGTTTCCATACAATATAAATTTTAAAACATTATTCTACGAAGGGATTCATAGAAAGGGATCGATGGTACAAGAAGAGGTTAAGAACCCCTATAGAAACTTAAGGTTCCATGGCAATTACCCACATGGAACACAGAGCTCACAAGTCAAGTCTCTACTTTGGCCTTAGTCCTTCTTTAAAAGGATTTAATGGAAGTGGTGACAAACAGGCCCTTTTGTTCTTAATTTTAAAGGGATATTCAGTGAAGAAAGAGCCTGTTGGAACCTCATTTCAAATAACAATCCTGTATTTGAAAGGAAAATGGCTTTTTAAAAAACATTTTTCTCCAAATGCTATTTAACACTCACTTCTACAAAACCTTTTTTCTTTAGATTCTTTTTTCCTGCATTCCCTCGATGCTTATTCAATTGCTTATCACTGAATACTTACTAGTTCACAAGCCTATTTTGTCTTGCCAACTGGATTATAAAAGTGCCCTTGAGAAGTTTATTTCTCAGGATGGCCAGAATAGTGTTCTACAAATAGACACTCAATACATGTTTCCTGTAAGGCCTTTCACAAAAGTGAACTTATTTACCATAAAAGCAGTATTAAAAATCAATATGGTTAAATAATGTTTATTATAAGGTGCTAAAAAAGAGGAATCTTTGACTCTGGAAAGTATTTTGTGAAAGGAGTTAAGACATGTTTATAAATAGCTTTTACTTACAAGTAAGGATTAAAAATCTTCCTTAATGGAAAGTGATCTTGCAAATGATCTGAAAATTCCATTTTCTATCACCAGCAGAGTGGGACAGGCTTTCTCTAATGAGCAGATGATATGAATATTACTAAATTCTAAAATTTTTAACTCAGGAATTCAGCCATGGCTTATATGTGATCAAATAAGAGTTTTACAATGAAAGTTCAAGCATAGAATACAACCATGATTTCTAAAACTATAGGATATATTCCATTCCATAAAACCATGAAAATATAACCATGATTTCTAAAAACTGTAGGATATATTCCATTTCAAAGATGTTATAGTTATAGTAGTTTTAATTTTTTCTTATCTACTGAAACCATTGTTATATGAAAATTACTGCAAATCAGGCTTGTACATCTAAATTCAAGTAGCAGACCTATGACTTTTTAGCCAATGATTTATTTCAAAATGCTACTTTCATTAAAAAGGTGAATATTTTTTCTTTCCACATTTACAAATTTCCTATTAAGTCTCTTCTGAACCAATCTGATGTTTAAATGATTTGAAATGTCAACAATACTAAAAAATATAGCTAACATTTTCCAAATAATGGTTAATGCCTTGTACCCTTCCATTTAATTCTGAAATCAATCAAGTCCTGTTAATTTTCCCACATGCCTCTTAAATACACCCATCCCAAGTGCACTTGCCAATGCCTTAATTCAGCCCTCCTAGCTGCCTCCAATTTCCTCACCTTCCCATACATTCTCAGCATGTTCATAAAATGATCAGACTTGTGTTTCAGAAAGATCATGACACTCCTCTGCTTAAAACTCTGCACTGGCTCCTCATCAGGCACAGGTTTCATGTTCATTAGCACAGTATCCCATGACCCTCAATGATCTGGCTCATACTTCCCTGTCCTGCACTTCTCTCATCACAGTGCCTCACACTAATCGGCGGTAATGAACTATTTGCAGGGCCTTTGCACAGTTTTTCTTTCTCCAGGGCCATCCTCTCATAGAGTCCTGGTTAACTCTATCATCATTCACGACCCAGCTCAAACACTACTTCTTCTGTAAGGCCTTCTTGAAGCCCATCCAACTCCAAAGGTAATCATTCCCTCTTCAAATCTTCTATCACTGTACTTACCACATTGCATTGTAATTGTTTATATGCTTGTGTTCCCTGTATCACTGTAGACTTTTTGAGACATTAAAAGGTGCTTCATGTTTGTTGAACTGAACTAAATTTGATCTAATGATCTGAGTAATTGGGAAACAGAGATGGGATGTTTCCAGAATGATTCATAGTAACCAAGATGATCATGTTTCTCCACAGCAAACATAAATCTTATGTTTCTCTAATCACAGGGATTATCAGACCCTCTTGGAACAGCGCACAAAACACAAATCCTTAAATATAGATTGCTTCTGGCTTAGTGCAAAATATATACATTATGTTTTAATCTTAATTTTAGCAGAGTACAAAGTACCTTAAAGGATGGATTATTTATACTGTGCACTAGGAATTAGTACTTATTCAATTTGATCATATGCATACCAGGAGAAAAGTAGAGTCCTGATACATTGGAAACTATTTTGTAGAATAATTCCTTTGGGGAACACTAAAAGTTATGTAAGGGGTGCCTATTATGAAACCAAAGTAGGTGGCATAAGAGATACAGGGAAATTTTGTGGCTTCAAATATTTAGGTAGACAGAACCAAGCACAGCAAGCATATAGGTAGGTGCAACGCATAATTTTCAAGATCCAAATCTGCTCCTCTGTGACTACAGCCACAACAAAGTTCTTTTTCTGGGATAAAAAATACTAAGAAATTGCAGAAACAATAATTAAGGATAAAGTCTACCCTCTTACCAGCATGCACAAATGACTTAAAACTATTTTTTTAAGCCTATTTATTTTTGAGAGAGAGCAAGAGCACAGGTGGAGGAGGTGGGCACAGAGGAAGACACAGAATCTGAAGCAGGCTCTAGGCTCTGAGCTGTCACTACAGAGCACGACGAGGCTCAAACCCACAAACTGTGAGATCACAACCTGAGCCAAAGTCAGATGCTTAACCAACTGAGCCACCCAGGCGCCCTAACTTAAAAACTAGTTTTAACTACAGATATATCCATATTACTCATAAATTCAAATACACCAATAATTTTTAAAATCAGTTCATGATTTAACTTTATTTGCTCTTAACTGTATTTTGTAGACTCCATACTACACACATTATTTTTGAAATAAAAATATAATCATTTTAAAAAGTTAACTCAGAAAAATATCAATCATGTTAGACTACCCAGTTTTTAGGGTTTTCCTATGAGAATGTCATTAGTTTCTGTTTTACCTAAAGTTCATTTTTTAGAATTGTATTCATTTATTTTACATATTGCCAAGAGAAAATTTGAATGAAATAAAATATCCCAGCTCAGAGAAGAAAACTTTATTGTTGCAGTGGCAACGGCACTGTAATCCCAAAACTTTTTTCTATAGCTAAGACACAAGATGATCTAATTCAGTCAATGTTTCTTAAACATTGGTATTCAGGGATAACTATAAGGCACTTTTCTTTAGCCAGTAGATAAAAACAAAGCCAAAATAAGGAGAGAAGTACTGCTAAATCAACTTCATAACAAATTTAATTCTAATGCAGCAATTATTCAAAGTGTACACATTACTCAATATGCAACAGTAATACAAATTGTAAATCAGCAACTTTACTTTTAAAAATTAGTGCATGCCTGGCTGGCACAGTTGGTAGACCATGCAACTCTTCATCTTGGGGTTGACTTTGAGCCCCATGTTGGGGACAGATTACTTCAAAAATTTTTTAAATCTTGAAAAAAAATCAGTTAAGCCTAAAAAACCCAGATACATTCTAAAATGTAAATAGACTGCAAATTAGGAAAATGGTTATCACCAGTTTTGTTAGTGCTTCATCCTCTTCCCCCTCATGTAAGACTTTTGAAATGAAAACTATGTATCTATACAACTCTTCATAACACAATTATCAATAAGCAGTAATGAGTAAAAGGATTGCCACTCTTTCTCTCAATCTTTGATCCATAGCTTTTTTTTTTTTTTTAAGATTTTATTTAGGAGCACCTGGGTGGCTGGCTCAGTTGGTTAAGCATCCAATTTCAGCTCGATCATGATCTTACAGTTCATGAGTTCAGACCCTGCGTCAGGCTCTGTGCTGATAGTTTGGAGCCTGGAGCCTGCTTCAGATTCTGTGTCACCTTCTCTCTCTGCTCCTCCCCTGCCTGAGCTCTGTCTGTCTCTCTCAAAAATAAACATTAAAAAAAATTTTTTTTTAAGAATTTTAAGTCATCTCTACACCCAACGTGGGGCTCGAACCCACAATCCCGAGATCAAGATTGCATACTCCACCAACTGAGCCAGGCAGGCATCCCTGATCCATAGCTATTTTATACACAAAAGGTTTACACATTAATCCTCACATAAAATTCTTTTACACTTATTTCATGAAGTCTACATCTCTTTCATTATCTTTTTTAAATTTTTTTAAATGTTTATTTATTTATTTATTTATTTTTTCAACGTTTATTTATTTTTGGGACAGAGAGAGACAGAGCATGAACGGGGGAGGGGCAGAGAGAGAGGGAGACACAGAATCCGAAGCAGGCTCCAGGCTCTGACCTGTCAGCACAGAGCCTGACGCGGGGCTTGAACCCACGGACCGTGAGATCATGACCTGAGCCAAAGTCGGATGCTTAACCGACTGAGCGGCGCCCCCATTATCTTTTTTTAAATGTTTATTTTTGGGGTGCCTGAGTGGCTCAGTTGGTTAAGTGTTTGACTTGGGCTCAGGTCATGATCTCGCAGTCTGGGTTTAAGCCCCATGTTGGGCTCTGTGCCGACAGCTTAGAGCCTGGAGCCTGCTTCAGATTCTGTCTTCCTCTTTCTGTCCCTCCCCCACTCATGCTCTGTCTCTCTCTCTCTCAAAAATGAACATTACAAAATTTTAAAAACAATGTTTATTTATTTTTGAGAGTTGGGGAGAGAGGCACAGGGAGACAGAGGATCCCAGCGGGCTCTGCACTAACAGCAGAGAGCCCCATGTGGGGCTCGATCCCACAAACTGTGAGATCATGACCTGAGCCGAAGTTGGACACTTAACCAACTGAGCCACCCAAACGCCCCTACATCTCTTTCCTGTATTATTCTTTGTATAGTATAGCAAAATTTTATGATTTCTAGAACAAAGTACTCTACTGCCATTTTTACCTTTGATAAAACTATGCCTTTTTGGGAACTTTCTTTTTATCTGGTGATTTAGTTTGTTACTAATAAAAGAAAAAAGGTCCTGAGAGCTCACAGGAACACATAGGAACTATGGGACAAATGCCCAGGAATTTTGTGATTCTCTCAGTAACTATCAACTTCCCAAAGGAAATATTTGAAATTCCACCGTTAAGAATATATGAGGAAAAAAGTGCTGCAAGAAGACAGTATACCATTAACTTAAGTCCTTTTTCGTTGCTGTGAGAAAATTATACGTTTGAACAAAAATCTGCTGTGAATTTTCAGGTTATGTCTAAACTTTCATGTTATGCCAAATAAACTACTAAAACATTGTATATGCATAATTAATTAGCTGTCAGAGGTCAAGAGTAAATGAAAGCATATTATCTATGAAGTGCAAAGGTACTTCCAAGTGAACACATCTAGGGTACATTTAAGAAAAATCTAATAAGCTAAAAAAAAAATCAACTGGCATTTTACATTTTTTAAAGATTATTTTGCTTCATCAAATGCATGTTTTCATATTCCATTGCTTCAATAATCTAAAAAAAATTGGGTCAAGATAAGCCTTTCCTTGGCTCCAGGCTCTGAGCTGGCAGCACAGAACCCAATGCGGGGTTTCAAACCCACGAACTGTGAGATCATGACCTGAGCTGAAGTCGGATGTTCAACCGACTGAGCCACCTAGGCGCCTCTAGAATAACCCTTTTCTCTGAATGGGAACAAATTTATTTGTGTGCCTTTAATGATACAAGTATTTTCAAAGAGAAATATGACTTAAAAATATGACATTTAAAATGAATGAATGAATGAATGACATTTTAGACACCTTACTGGGATACAGTGATGCCTCTTTTATCTACAGCTCAGCTATCTTATCTTACACACTTCACTCATTAAAACAAAAAAACAAAAAACAAAAACCCGGAAACTACATCAAAGCTCTTTAAATAGCCAGAAGGAATGTTAGAAGGTTCATGTGCTCAGGACTTTTGCTCTCAAGCCCACAATGAGTCTATTCACTTTCTTATACACAATTCTAAACACACTGGCTTTCCAAATCTACATGAGATGGAAACCAACACTATAAGTAAAGCAAACTGTTAATACCAAAATGCAGTATCTGAGAGTTTACAAGTATGACGGTCAAAAGGAAAGCTAAAAAAAAAAAAAAAAAAAAAAAAAAAAAAAAAAAAAGGCAGCATAAAAAAAATCCAAAGTTGACCTTTCTGGGGTTAATTATTTAAGAGTAATCCTATACTGGAGCACCTGGTTGGCTCAGTCAGTTGAGTGTCTGACTTCAGCTCAGGTCATGATCTCACAGCTCTGTGAGTTCGAGCCCCTCATCGGGCTGTGTTGACAGCTTGGAGCCTGGAGCCTGCTTCGGATTCTGTGTCTCCCTCTCTCTCTGCTCCTAACCCACTCACATTCTGTCTCTGTCTCTCTCAAAAATAAATAAACATTCAAAAAAAAAAAAAAAGTAATTATATACTTCAAAAGAAACTTAGCATACTAGTACCTCATAAAATTCAAATTAACCACCTCATCTTTAATAGTTTCTTCTACTTAAGTATTAACATTTTGACATCAGCCTATTTCTTGACAGTGTGACTACATCTGGTTTGCTAGGGACTGTCCCAACTTAAGCCTGTTGTCCTGGCATAATTATTAATAGCTCTCACTTTTACTCTCAAAAAATTGTCCTGGTTGGGCTACGAATTTTAAGATCATCCT